ACAGAATCTAATCGCCACAAAAACTGGACTCGATAATGACAGCCAAATGTCAGAAAATTCTTACCCTCAAAGTCACGTACAAATGAGTGTAACTGTGGTGGTTGTCGCTCCTACCTGGCTCTGAATAGTCAAGACACACACACACAAACACACACACACACACACACACACACACACACACACACAGTTTGTTAGAGATTTGTTTTGTTTCGGAGATATACACATAAACATAACACACATGCTTTTCTACACATACGTACATGATTGTATACTTACATGGGAAACTATGTACATGTAGGTGAGGATATGTACACATGTAAGGGAGTGTTGGGGTTAGGTTAGGTTAGAGGAAAAACACACACTGGGGTTTAGAGATCATGGTCCCTCTCGTGATGGTCCCTCTCATCATGGTCCCTCTCATCCCTTTCATGATGGTCCCTCTCATGGTGGTCCCTCTCATGGTGGTCCCTCTCATCATGGTCCCTCTCATCGTGGTCCCTCTCATCATGGTCCCTCTCATCATGGTCCCTCTCATCATGGTCCCTCTCATCGTGGTCCCTCTAATCGTGGTCCCTCTCCCAACATCATACCCAACCCACAGTGCCCCATCACCAGAGAGAGAGAGAGAGAGAGAGAGAGAGAGAGAGAGAGAGAGAGAGAGAGAGAGAGAGAGAGAGAAAACGAAAGAAATCAATCAGCATAACACAACAACACAAACAAAACACAAAACAAACAAGTGAGACATAAACACAACTAGGTCAGGTGGGAGTCATTAAGAGTCAGTTAATGCCTCAGAGGGCTGGTGATCGTGGTTATCAGGGTGTAAGGGAAGGGTGGCCAGATACACAAAAGATAAGAGACATTTTGAATGGCATTACTCACCCAACTAACACGTGACACCTAGATAAACTTTGTTACAGAGTTTTAAGGTGGAAATACTGAAGGATACAGTTTGTTACAGAGTTTAAGGTAAAATACAGTTTGCTCTAGAGTTTGGGTGGAAATACAGTTTGTTACAGAGTTTTAAGGTGGAAATACTGAAGGATACAGTTTGTTACAGAGTTTAGGGCCAGAATACGGGAATATACAGCTTCTTATAGAATTTGAGGTGGAAATACAAAAAGACGATGAAATGATTACAAAACCTAAACAGGAAAATACAAAATAGAGGATAATAATGCAATGGAAATATTATAAAGTTTAAAATTTCAGAATACAGTAAAATAAGAATAAGAAATATGATGATTTGGGTACAGACTCTGCTGCTGTAACTGATAAATACATAAAGATAGTTGTTTGATATTTGTACAATCTATCTATCTATCTATCTATCTCTCTATCTATCTATATATCTATCAATCTATCTATTTATCTCTCTTATCATATGAGTCAGGTGGCCTTCTCGAAAGTTCCTCCCCTCTCCATTATCTGAAATTTCTCATCAATCGCGTGTCAGTACTCAACCCTCAACCCGTCTCTCCCAACACATCATCTTGTCTACTCCGTCAATCCCCCGTAGCCAACACACAGACGGGAGAATGGACTGTCTATAAAGGTGTGTGTTAAGTGAATGTGTAGATCCGTTTTTAAATTAGTATCACCTGTAGATTAACCTACTGCGTATACTCACCTGGGAATTAATCACCATAGGCTAAGCTAAGTTAACCTGACCTAACCTCACGCAACATAACCTAACATAGCAAAATGTAATCTAACAATCTAACCTAACCTAACCAAACCTAGTTCAGTGGGTGTGTGTATGTGTGTATATAATTATGTTTAAATGTTTAGGTGAACGTATAAATTTCATGTGTGTTTGCGTGTATGCGTGTGGATTGTATATTTGGTAATGTAGGTGTGTGTGTGTATTTGCATGAACGTATTTGCCTCTATGTGTATGAATGTGCCGTGGGTGTGTGCACTTCCACCAGGTAAACAAGTGACTCGAGAGGGTGGAATTAAGTGGCAAGTTTCTTTACACCATTTGCCTCTGTCTTCCCAACAGTAATTGGTGACCCGGATGTTAATCGGCCCAGGTGGCTGTAGGGCCGACCAGTCTCCAACACGAGGGCCTACCATTATCAAGGGCCTGGTGCTCACAATGATATGTAAAGGTTCCATAGACTTATTGGGGGAAAATATAATGTTGAAAAAAAAAATCGGTCAAATTTGAGGTCTGGATGTGTGTGTATGTGTATGTGTCACCAGGTCACACGTCACCCTTCAGACATAACACACACACACACACACACACACACACACACACACACACACACACACACCACCTCGTGACGTCACCAGTGACCTCTCAGCTAGTGACAACACAGACCCCAGAACGGAAGTAATTCTCAATACATCTTACATTATTTTTCTTCCCTTACGAGTAACTGTGTAAGTGAGAAAAGCATCTAATTCACTCCCTTCTGTTACGACACCTGTCTCACACAATACCTGGTGATGAGAGGGGAACACACCTGCCTCACTTAAGCTACATCTCAGGTAACAAGGACTGGGGTTACCTGTGCTGGGTGATGGGTCATTTGTCTCAGGTGACCGCCGTCTGATGTATATATTTGCTCGCTAATTGTCATCTGCGAGACTCCCCCCACCACCACACCTTTCTACCCCCTTTACCCTTCTCTTCTCCCCCACCACTTACCCACTACTCCTCTCCCTATCCCCTCTCCTCCCTTCCTCTCTCACCCAATGAATCCTCCCTCTCCTATCCTTCCTATTCCTTCCTTCCTCTCACCAATCTCCTCCCTCCCCCTCCTCCTTTCATCCCCTTAATCTTTACTCTCCTTCCCTTTCCCTCTTATTCTTCCCATTACCCTGGTTCAAATTATTCTCCCCCTCTCAATTTCCAGCAAACTATGTGTTACCAGAAATTACCATTATTATTTTAACTTATTTTTTGTTAATCAGTATCTAACAACCATGTATAGCAAAATAGAAGTTAATTATAGCTCTTGTTACTTATTTTACTTATTTTCTATTTTTACTTAAACAAAAAAAGACGCGAAGGTAGTAGAAAAAACTATGATGACCTTTAGTTAGTGGTAAGGGTGAGAGAGGTCATACGAGGTCAACTTGTGAGTGAGAGGTCAGGTCAGGAGTAGACTAAAGATAGCGTTACTGCCCCCCCTACCCACCCCCACCCACCCCTGAGTTTGACCATTCTCTCTCTCTCTCTCTCTCTCTCTCTCTCTCTGCTCTTAAAATGCTATTGTTTTAAAAATAATTATAAGAAAAACTATATTATTATAAATTAAATAAAGAAAGCAATTTTCACCCGAGTTTATTTCACCTAAAGATTAACCTAAAATAACCTAACCTAACCCTCGCAGATAGTGTTAGGGTCTTCAATCATCAGGTGAAATAAGGTGATGATTCTATCCTTCAGGCGATCTCTTTTCTGAATCCTTGTAAAAAAAAAACGAAAAAATATATAAATAATTTCGTTAAGCCGTAGTTTAAGATATATAGATTCGCTACGTTATCTGATCTCACAGGTCGAAAAAGCGCGCGAAACTTTGTAAACAAACAGATGGCGGCCACCTCCTTATGGCAGGGGTCAAGCTAATATTTACGGGGTCCTGGCAGGCGGTCAGCTGATAGAGAATTGCGGATTACAACCTTCCCACGCGGGATTTGGGCAGGATTTAATCGATACGTCTACCGAGGAGAGGGATTTTAATCTCTCATACTCAGAAGAAATCGCTGGATTAATGAGTAGGATTTATTGTTACTCGAGGTGCAGGTTAGGTTAGGTTAGGTGATAAGGGGTCAGCTGTCTGTGGGCTACTTGTGCTGTGTTGTGAAGGGGGGGGAGGGGGGTTATAACAACACGGGAGGTAAATATAGTCCCAACCAAAAACCAACCAAAGTTCCAACCAATAACCAACTAAGACCCATCCAAGTCCCAACCAAGAGTCAGATCGCAATACATTTTTCATGATTAGATTCCCAAACGTTCATATGTAGGATAGCAGCAGTAGTAGTAGTAGTAGTAGTAGTAGTAGTAGTAGTAGTAGTAGTAGTAGTAGTAGTAGTAGTAGTAGTAGAATTATTATTAGTAGTAGTAGTACTATTAACCCCAAGCGTCCGGAAGCGACAACCAACACCTGGGAGGAGTTCACCCATCAACCCACCCAATCAATTAGTCAGCAAATGGAAAGAAAACCCGTAAATTTAAATCGCTAATCCACGATGAAATTTAAAAGAAATCGTGTTTTTTCCTAGACAAAGCCTTGGCGAGGGTTAAAAAATACTCGGGAGAAAGACTTGAACTTGAGTCTGAAATCTGGAGTGTCACTTGAGATCAGTCAATGTCGTCCTCGAGGCTCGCTGAGGTACTGTTCAGGGTTGTGGAAGCTTAAAGGTGAGTTAATTGGGATCATCTGAGGATTAGGCCCAAAGCTTAATTCATCTAACTTAACCTAACCTTATTTCATCTAACCTAACCTAACCTACCCCCTCACCCCACCAGGTATCGCTAGGTGGTTAATCAACAGGTAAATTCAGCTAGAGGTTAATTTCTAGATAAAATAATATTCAGATGAAATAAAAAAGAAAAAAGGGAGGGAGAGAGAGAGAGAGAGAGAGAGAGAGAGAGAGAGAGAGAGAGAGAGAGAAGGGGAGACACACACACACACACACACACACACACACACACACACACACACACACACACACACACGCACACACACACACACACACACAGGCAGAGGGATGCCAGTGACGATAAAACGATGAAGAGAACACAAGAGGAATATCCAACAGCAGTCAGTATCTAAAGGGCTATCGTATCTATCGTAAATACGTAATATACCCAACTGTAATATTCCCCAAAGATCTATTTCATCTATCGTAATATAACCTTCATCACATATTTATATTTCCTCTCAATTCAAACATCAAAATTCACCCAAAACAAATTTTTAATAATCTGGAAAAAAAAATTAAAATAAATCAACAAATAAAGTAAAAAAATTTCTCACCTCCAGATCCCATTCTAAGAAGTCGTCCATATATGTCTGTCTGTCTGTCTGTCACCTGTTATAAACACTGGGTATAACACTCGTTGAGGACACGTTATAAACACTACCACTAACTGAGGAACACTGATATCTACTGACACGACCACTAACCCCTTATCCATATCCCTGTTACACACACACACACACACACACACACACACACACACACACCGCTATCTTATCATACACACGTAAGTTAAGTTTATCTAAATCAGTCAATCATTCACAATCCTCATCAAAACACGAAGGCAAATTAATCGTAGTCTTTAAAGTCATCTAACATAGAGGCTAAATTACCCTATCATATGAAGGTAATTTACAAGAATGAGAGGTGTGACAGTGTGAGATTCAACTAGTACGATAGATGGCTTATCATAACAGGTGACGTAATATCTCTCTTATCACATTACATGGTCATGGTGTGATGATGGGCCCCCCCTTGACGACACCTGAAGTACCTGAGAGAGAGAGAGAGAGAGAGAGAGAGAGAGAGAGAGAGAGAGAGAGAGAGAGAGAGAGAGAGAGAGAGAGAGAGAGAGGTACTTATTGAGTGAGGGAGAGAGGGAGATGACTGACAGACAGCCAGACAGACTGACAGACAGACAGACAGACAGACAGACAGACAGAGAAAAACATATACTTCTGAATGAATAAAAGATAAACAAACAAGTTACTTTACGAAATCACAATGACATTATTTTATTATTATTATCAAATTCTACTGAAGTAAAATACTGTACAGGTAAAATTATTAAGTCACACGCAGTAGGAAGGAATTAAGTCAGAACAGTACACTTCCGGAAGCAGGAGCCATTGTTAACCTTTCAATTAATTCAGAAGTTTGTGTGCTAGTTCAGTCTTCTACTTTTCCTCTCATCCATTCATCCATTCACCCACCTTTTATACTAATTCACTCATCCATTCATCCATTCACCCACCTTTAATACCCATTCACTCATCCATTCATCCATTCACCCACCTTTTATACTAATTCACTCATCCATTCATCCATTCACCCACCTTTAATACCCATTCACTCATTAATACAGAGATTCACCTGTCTTTACACTCACTTATCTACCCACAAATTTATCCACTTATTCATCCACTTACTCACCCACTCATCCACCCATTCTACCTACTCACGCACCCACCCTCCCACTCGTCCACTCACCCATCCACCCACCCACCCACCACCCACCCATTCACCTGTTCATCTGATGGGTGACATACCTGGAGAGAGAGAGAGAGAGAGAGAGAGAGAGAGAGAGAGAGAGAGAGAGAATATTCCCCCTTAACAAATATCTAACCTAACCTAACCTAACCTAACCAATGTAGTCTCAACCTAATTTTGAAAAGACATTTAAAAATAAAAACAAAAACATCAGGTAAACTTTGGTAATTACAGGTGTTATCTTATCAAGTCGTGACCCAAGTTAGAGATGTCACCCAATTCCTCACTAGAGCTAGAACAGGGAAGTTGTGTGTGTGTGTGTGTGTGTGTGTGTGTGTGTGTGACTTAGATGCAAACCAATGACCTTAGGGACAGGAGGTGAACTTTGTATCTACTTACCCACTTCACTCTTAATTAATAAAACAGGTATAAGCAGGTAAATAAACAATCAAATGGTCACACTAAACGACTCACAATTTCGACATTACCTTCATCATTTATTCAATATGACGAGAGATTATTATTTTTTTAAGGGTAAATAAAGAAGATGGGAATAAATGGAAGAAAATGATAAATGAGGAGAAGATGAGGACAGACACGTTAAGTAGACAATTGGTTTAGTCCACCACCCGCCACGACCAACCCCGGGGGCAGCGGTTAACTCAGGAGGTGGTGGTAGTGATGATGATGATGATGATGATAGTGGTGTGGTGGTGGTGGTGTTGAGGTCCTATGATAGTAAGACTATCCAAGACAATATATTAACAATTGTTCCATCCATCCATCTATCCATCTAACCACCCCATCAAATAAACTCGACCACCACTACCACCAACCCTCACCCCTCCCACCAGATGACAAAGTTTAGGTGGCCGAGTGAATTACAGACGGGAGAGTGGGAGAAAAAAAAACACTCGGTAAATATCATAATAAAACACAATAGCTGTTTAGTGTGAGTGGTGATGTGAGCATAAACAGAGCAGACCAGCTGGCGTGACTTAGTATAAAACACTCATACAACGAAGTGAGTTTTATTATTTTTTTTTGTGTAGGTTAATGTAAAAGACAGACGACTTTTGTTGTTCTACGTGAAGGTAATGTGGAAGGGGTACCGCAAGGGGAGTATCTCGTGGTGTTTGATCTGGTGAATTCCTGAGAGTCATTTGGCTGTGTTTTTCCTCTCATAACTGGGAGATGGAAGGGGAATTTAACTGGTTTTAACTGGGAGATGGAAGGAGAATTTAACTGGTTTTAACTGGGAGATGGAAGTAGAATTTAACTGGTTTTAACTGGGAGATGGAAGGAGAATTTAACTGGTTTTAACTGGGAGATGGAAGGAGAACTTAACTGGTTTTAACTGGGAGATGGAAGGAGAATTTAACTGGTTTTAACTGGGAGATAAGTGTATATATATAACCGATTTTAACTGGGAGATAAGGGAATGAAACTTACTGGCCCAAACTGGAAATATCAGAGTGCACTTCACTTACTTAAGTAGGAAAGAACAGAACGAATCTAACTGTATCAACATGAAATTATAATTATGACGTATCAAACTCTCAAAAAACACAACAATACCTTATTATTTACCCTAACCTAACCTAACCTAACCTAACTTAACCTAACCATCCCTCATCGAAGCTCGCAGGCCAGGGATCAAATACACACCTAGACTCTACCTGAATTAGATACGTTAAGTTAGCATGAGTTAGGTGACTCGTGTTCCGTATATTCATTTTATTCCTTAAATCGTGTGAAATATATATTGGGTGTTCCAGAAAAAGCCCCTCCCTCGCTCCCTCCCTCCCTGCCTGCTCCCTGAGACACTGTGAATTGGAGGGAGGGAGGGAGGGAGGGAGGGAGGGAGGGAGCAGGGATGGAGGCAGGGAGGAAGGGAGGAAGGAAGAGAAGGAGGCAGGGAGCAGGTAGGGAGGGAGGCAGGGAGCAGGGAGGCAGGGAGCAGGCAGGGATGGAGGCAGGGAGCAGGCAGGGAGGAAGGGACACTTTTCTGGAACACCCTACATACATTAATTAACCTACCAGAGTCTTAGTACACTTTTGATTCCATTTTGGATGTTTGTTTTGGTTGTAAGTTCATGTAAGTCTTAAGTTCGTTCTTACATCATCAGTTACGTAATAAGTCTAACGTAGGACCCTTTAAGAATCCGCTCCCAGAGAATCTTTTTAGACCCTGATGGACGACGAAGGTTCTTGAGCCAGGTGGCCTGACCTTACTGTGTGTGTGTCTGTGTGTAAATGATCTACAGTCAAGGAGGCTGCAGTGAAGCTTGTTTATGTGGCTTATTGACACAGTGAAGTTTGTTTACATGGATTTGTATACAGTGAAGCGTGTCTACCTGGCTTTATGGTACAGTGAAGCTTGTCTACCTGCTTATGATACAGTGAAGCTTGTCTACATTGGTAATTCACTTTGGGAAATTAGCAATAATGTTTCGTTTATGGCTGACTGAGTTCTTACGTCCTGTTAAGACCTCAAGGTGATGTTGTTTTGTTAAATAATTACACGAGAGAGAGAGGACAGGAAGGGGGGATAGCGCAGACAGGCAATTAGTGAGGCAGGTGGCCAGACAGACACACACAAACACACACAAACGCAGGAGACCAGACAGACAAGTGAAGATGTAACCAGACAGACAGACAGACACACAGGTGGCTACACAGACAGACAGTTAGTAAGACAGGTGGTGAACGGAGCAGGGAGGGAGGGAGGGGGAGGAGGAAGGGGAAGGGAGAGAGAGGGAGGGGGAGGAGAGGACCACAGGAACCAGCAGAATGTAACTCGGAGATAACAGGACCAATAAGACGTGGAGTGGCGCCCTTGGTCACCCCGCGGCAGGGTGGGTTGTGGACGCCCCTGCTGCTGCTGGAGGCGTGGACACGGGCGTGGTGGGGTGGCGTGTGAGGAGGAAGGAGGTGGGAGTGTGTGTGGGGAGGTGAGGGAGGGTGTGTGAAGGGATTGTGACACTGGTTGGCATATGTTGATAAATAAATAAATAAATACATAAATAAATATATAAATTGTAATAATTTAAGTTCTTGGAAATGAGGGCAACAACCCTTTGAGGATGAATTCTGGAATTAAATTAACAAATAGAACAGAAAGAAGAGAAGAAAGGAAAAGGAATGAGGAAAACAAGAATATGAGAGAAAAAGTTTAGTTCTTGGTTTAAAGGGACAACAGATATCATGGCGTTGTAAGCGTTCTTGTGGTGATGCTCATTTGTTTGTGTATAAGTGTGACTGTCTTTCTCAATATAATCCTGTAGTGTTTTTCTTTTTGTCTGTAGAGCAATTATTCTGGGTGTAGAAGTAGTGTAGTGAGGTTTATATATCAAGGGTGCAGGGTGTAGAAGTAGTGTAGTAGGTTTAGTATACTGGCATGTGTGCAGGGTGTGAAGTAGTAGTGAGGTAGCATACTGGCAAGGGTGTGTAGGGTGGAAGTAGTGTAGTGAGTGTAGTATACTGAAGGTGTGCAGGGTGTAGAAGCAGTGTAGTAGGTTTAGGTGTACTGGCAAGGGTGTGTAGGTGTAGAAGTAGTGTAGTAGGTTTAGTATATCAAGGGGCGTGGTGTGTGCAGGGGTAGAAGCAGTGTAGTAGGTTTAGTGTACTGGCAAGGTGTGCAGGGTGGTGGCTGGTGTAGCAGGTTTAGTGGCACTGGGCAAGGGTGTGTGCAGGGTGTAGAAGCAGTAGTAGGTTTAGCATACCGGCAAGGGTGTGTGCAGGGTGTAGAAGCAGTGTAGTAGGTTTAGTACTGGCAAGGGTGTGCAGGGTGTAGAAGTAGTGTAGTGAGTGTAGTATACTGGGCAAGGGTGCAGGGTGTAGAAGCAGGTAGTAGGTTTAGTGTACTGGCAAGGTGTGCAGGGTAGAAGTAGTGTAGTGAGCGTAG